GCAAAACAAACATTAGCTGCAGTTGTTCACGGTTTGGTGTCAGTATCCGTTAATAAGTGAATATTTTAGGTAGTTCTAAGCCTGTTCTGAACAACAGATGTGGCCGTCCGCAAAACAATGGGTGGACAGCTAGCAGACTGACCTGACAAACACATCAAACAAAGTCAGCCTGCTTGCTAGCTCAGCATGCTAACTTAGCATGCTAACTCACAGATCCACCTCCTAACAGTGTTTTATATAGATTAAAACCTCCTTTGTCAGCGATGCACAACAGCACTGACATATTTACTGTAAAGTCCCACAGGACATGATTTCAGTGTATGAAAGAGTTTGATTTTCTACGGCGCTGTTTGACAGACAGGCCCTAAACTTAACTGCAATTTTTGCAGAGAAGAAAGGCTTCAGTTTTCATAGAAAATCGGCTCAGACTGACGTGGAAAGAAAGCAATGTCAGCCGCTACAGAATATTCCCACCGAACAGCGCAACAATCACGACGAACGATGTGGTTAAAATTCAGAAACAGTAAGGAAAGCAAAGAGAAGAAAAATATAGATCTATTTAGCTAGCCAGGATGCTAACTTGCTGCCATCAAGCTTCAGCAGGCAACAATGCTAACATCATCCAGCTAGTTCAGCCAGCATAATGCAAACAAAATGACTTTTTTGTTTTACTTACATTCATTTAAAACCTCCACCAGCTCGGCGCAGTTTTCACACATTGTTCATGAAGGAGAGAACTTAGTATGCCTGCTCAAACCATTGCACTGGAACTGCTGTTGGGAAAGTAGTTAGTTGTTTTGGAGATAAAAAAAAAAGGCCCAAAGCAGGGAGTGATTGGTGAAGGTTACTCCGCTCAATGAAACATAAACGGCGGGCTGGAGGACGTGCTTTGCATCCGAGCGAAGAGGATAAACATCCAGAAGTTAAGAGGCACAGAAAGGTGAAAACCGTCACGGTCACCAACGGTTCACCGTTAGTTGAGAGAAGACTCTTCAGCCAGGAGGGGAGGGGGTTCGCTACAGCATGTAGGTCTGTTCGGAAGTTTCCGTGCTTGGTTCTCGCTCCACTTCGTTACGTTTCGGCGTCTCGCGATATTTGGAAACGTAACGCTCTTTGTCAGGTGATCTCAATGTCATAAGACCGGAGGTCTTCAACAGGGGGTCCGCGACCCCTAGGGGGTCCACAGAGGTACTGCATGGAGGTCGCAAAAATATTTGGTTGATTAGACTGTTTTTTATTTTATTTTATTTTTATATTCCCCCTTGCAATTTTTTCCACTAATTGAAATGTCTTTAAATATACATAAACGTGAATTCAACACACTGCTGTAAACAGATAAATGGAGGCAGAAGATGTCTTTCAGTCATCAATGCACACATTCAGCGACACACAGGAGCTCTTTCAAGCTGGGCACCGTTTCATTCACAACACCTGTCCCATCAACCAGGAATAAGAATCAGAAATACTTTAATAATCTCAGGGAGAAATTACTTTCGTTACATGACTCCATCTGTAATATAAGTAGAAGTATAGATACTGCAGTTTAAAAACACTCTGGTAAAACTTGAAGTATCAACTTGATCTTTTTACTCAAGTAAAAGTGAAAAAGTATGTGCTCCAAAAACTACTTAAAGTATAAAAGTATAAAGTAACCTTAAAAAAACAGATCCCACTATATGAATTGAAAGCCAATTTTTCGACTATTTTGAAAAATTCTTTGAGATAGGGCCAAGGATGAGGGAGGTCTTGTTGGTCTCCGTCTCCCGATACGCTCTTGCCTGTGTCCGACCTTTCAGACATTTTAACATCTTTTTCTGAATCCCACATTGTAGCATGGCATAGACAATTCACGTTAGCAGTTTGAAGAACACCTGCTTGCTTATGATGATTTCCTTTAGCAATGCAAACAATGAGTGTTTGCATTATATGACTCATCCAATCACACTAGTTTTCACTAAATGAGGATGGAGCCAATGATCTGCATTGGATGGCGCACATGACGGGAAATAAATATTTACAAACATTATGGTAAATGGCCTGTACTTAAATAGTGCTTTTATTCAAGTCAGGAGACTTGACCAACTTTTTTACAAAAAAAAAAAAAAAAAAAAAAAAACATTATTTGTATTTATTTGCATTTATTTTAAGAAGATTTGACTCCGTTAGATTTATATTTATTGCAGTGAGGGCAGCTGTCTTTGGTATTCTCCCTGGAGGCAGATACTACCATGTCAATACATCAAAGTTCTGCATTTGCCTCCTAATGCGCTGCCATTTGACCTAGTTGTGTTGAAAAAGAGAAATAAAACATCAAGGATGCATCTTCTTAAAAATGAGCTTTGACCTATCAAGAAAAAAAAACAGCAACAGCAGATTACAAAGCTAAGCAGGGCCAAAAGGAACAAGTAATTACTAGCTTCCTAGAAATGTACTGGAGTAGGAAGTACAATATATGACTTTGGAAGGTGACTACAGCAGCCAATTAAGATGATTTGAAAAAAACAAAACAAGGATGGATTTAAAGAAAATAAGGCAACCAGAACACATAGAAGCAGAACAGACTCTGAATCTGTAGGTGTATCTTATATAGACTGTATGATATACATATAGAATAGTACCATGTAGTTAGTATGAGTAATTTCACTTCAAAAAGGAAGCTCCTACATTATAAATACATGAGTATGTATGTTGCAGGTGTTTAATTTTGTTGTCCTATTGCTAATTACATTAAAAAGATTCTTTAAAAATATATATAGCTATATAACTGTAAATTTAAATCCCACATCAAAGAGGTTTCTAGAATTTCCCTCTTTCATCTGCAGAATATTGAAAAAATTAGAAATATCCTATTGTAATTCTTAACTATCAGGAAGTGTTCAAACTGTAGTTAAAAGCCTTCAGCTGATCCAAAATGCTGCAGCCAGAGTTCTGATGAAAATGAAAAAGAGAGATCATATCTCTCCTATCCTGGCTTCTCTTCATTGGCTTCCTGTTAAATCCAGAATAGAATTTAAAATCCTCCTTCTCACATATAAAGCCTTAAATGGCCAAACTCCATCTGATATCAGAGATCTGATTGTTCCTTATGTTCCTAACAGAGCACTTCGCTCTCAATCTGCAGGTTTACTAGTGGTTCCTACAATTTCTAAAAGTAGAATGGGAGGCAGATCTTTTAGTTATCAGGCTCCTCTCCTGTGGAACCAACTACCAGTTTTAGTCCGTGAGGCAGACACCCTGTCTACTTTTAAGGCTAGGCTTAAAACTTTCCTTTTTGATAAAGCTTATAGTTAGAGTGGCTCAGGTTATCCTGAGCTATCTCTATAGTTATGCTGCTATAGGCTTAGACTGCTGGAGGACAAAGGGACCCCTATTTCATCATTCTGCTTCATTCTATCTCTATTCTCCCACTCTGCAGAATCTGTTAGTTCAATCTCTAACGTTTTGCTCTCTCTGCTTATTCTCATAGCTTCATCTGGTCTGTTCCTGTTTGGCTGTGACTCCATCCTGGAGAGAAATATCAGCTGTGCTGCTGTCATTAACAACTTTGTTTATAGATGTTGGAGCTTGGCCTGTTTTTCAGTGTAGTCCTGTTTCTCTGACTGAATGGATGTGCTCTCTTCATCCTCTGACATGGGAGCTGGCTCGGAGCTCGTCTGCCTGGCTGTGTTTTCTGGATGGGGCCTCCTGTTACAGCTGCTTTTTGTGTCTCTGCTTCTGTCTCCTTAAACCCCAGTCGGCCTCAGCAGATGGCCGCTCACACTGAGCCTGGTTCTGCTGGAGGTTTCTTCCTGTTAAAAGGGAGTTTTTCCTCTCCACTGTCGCTACAAGCATGCTTAGTGTGAGAGATTGCCTTTGAGCCAATGCAATCAACTGGCTTTCCTTAAATAGAAAACTTTGAATCAGTTTGACTGGGTGATCTGGTGAAATGTAAAGTGCCTTGAGATGACATGTGTTGTAAATTCAGTCCCTCTGCCATGACATCACTAGCTGGTTTTTGATTCCGGTGATGTCATAACTCCCCAGTCAAAAAAAAATAATTGCCTAGTTTCTTAAAAAAAAAAAAAAATCCTACAGTGTTAAAACTTTTAAGCCATTTTTATTTAACATTTTCTATTATCTTGTTGCAATACAAAAATTAAATATTCAAAACGTATCTGAAGATTTACAGAAATATGAAACATGTGAAATATTAAGTTCAGATCTCTTTAATTCCAGCATTACATTAATGGCAGAAGATTAGGAAATAACCTAATAAAAGCCCCTGGCCCAATGGTTCCCTTTTTACTAAGGTAGGTGTGAAGACAAAAGATGGATAATCTGATTTAGTCCTGTGTTTAAAACGTGGAAGTGAATTTATGTGATGCTATGCAGACGTCTGCCTTTCAGCTGAATACTTTTAGGCGCCTAAATTAATTGGATGGACAGTTTAGACTTTGAACAGTTATTTTTGTAAAAATAGGCAACTTTATAATGTACTTGGAAAGATTAACAAACAGGATGAGCTGCACACAGCCCTCAGGTACATCCAGTAGCAGAAGCTCCGACCCATCAGATGACAAGGAGCAAGAAAAAAAAAAAAAGAACACAAAAACGAACGAGGGCGAAGCCATCAGAGCGACACATTCATTCTATTCAGTGCACAGAGCACATCTGAAACAAAAACAATCTTTGACATTAACGTGGCAAATGTTTTCACAATATATCTTACATATTAACAAGGAACAGGTGAGTAAAGTGAGGGATTAAAACGAACCTTTAATTTCTGTATCTTCAAGCAGATGTAAAATAACCGTGTTGCCAAAAGGAAACTTTAACAAATCATGTTAAACACAAAAACCCTTGTATAAAATAAGTTTATAAAGAAAAGAAAAAACAAACAAAACACGCCGAAACTGAAGTCAATTCTCATTTACATATAAACATCGATTTGGTCGACTTCCAAATGCACGTCCGTATTACCCCCAGATTGTCTTTCCAATCCAGGTCAAATACAAATTGTAGTTGCTTTAGTCGCACATCTCCTCCGGCAGCTCATGGGGGTTAAGTATTCCAGGAACAGACATCTGCAGCTTGTGTTTCTCCTCCTGGGCTTGGCGAAGAGCCGCTTCTCTCTCCTCCAGGAACAGATCCGTCGTGTCCTCACCAGCAAACTCCTGTCAGATCACAAGAGATGAAGATCAGCAATGATCCCACTCTGATTTCATGCGGTTCTGCTTTATCCTCATTCTGATCTGCTGTCATTTAGCCTTCAGGAATTAACACCCAGAAACGATACTAACTGGACGGGTTATTGATCCTAAAGTGTTGTTGAAAGTTTTTGGCTACTGTTGATTATAAATCTCTGGAATATTTGCAGATTAAAAGAATATCCCCTCAGACGACCATAACAGGTTGTCAAATTGTTTTGTATTCAATTTATTCATTTTGCATTTATTCTATTAGCATCTGTAATCCTGTTAGGAAAGCAGGTTCCAAGCTGAGGAGGAAAAGGGTGAATAACGAAAAATAAAAAACCCACAGATTTTCAGACAGGATTTTTTTATTTTTATTTTTAGAAATTTTCTAACTTTTGGGACAATATAGTCTGATAAAGAGTACATTTATATACATGTTTTAGCCAGAATGATTTAAATATGATTTCCCTACGACTTTAATATCTGCAGTGGCTGTGATGTCCTGACAGGTGTTTCCTCTGGTTTTGTCTTCTTCCCTCTCCTTTTGATCAATAGACTTTTCTTTTTTTTGTTGCATCTTATTTACAATTTCTTACTTTTTTCATTATTGTCTGATGTTAAAATAAATAAAAGCATAACACACTGATCATTTCGTAAAAAGGTGGCTACCCATAACAAGATACTTCTCAAACTGAGGGGATTCCAACACTGCCCACTTATTTATCTACTATTTATTTTCTGTCATGTGTAGCCTATTACTAAGCTTTCTGGGCCCAAAGGTTGTTTTTTTTTCTCCCCGTATTTTGCCGTATCATACATAACCTGTGATGCTGTGAGGACCTGTGAGGAATGTTTGTATTCTTTCTAATAAACAAGGTAATAAAAAAAAAAAAAAACGATCATGCATCCCTATTACCTGTGTATTTTATTTAGTGGGGGTGACAGAAAAACTGATGCGTAAAAACAGAAGATGAAGCACGTTTCCTTTCACCTTATAAGTTGGTGATACTTTAGGTAGATTTATCACCAAACTCCAATGATTTATTAAAACTTTTGGTTTCAACAGGACAAAGTGAAAGTGTTTAACATTCGTTGGTCGCTGACCTTAATCTGAACGAGGAAGTCCCTCAGGTGCTCCTTGAAGGCTGGGATGTCCTGATTCAGGCTGAACAGACCCGTAACAAACACCTTCACCTGGGCACTGGACAAATATTTAATCAAATCAACATTTACAGATATTTACCAGCAGTCAGCAAAAAAACAACTACAGGGAACCTCTGCAACAGTCAAAGCAGTTAGATTTCATATGTAAAAAAAGATTTTAAAATTAGAATACAAATTCCAGATTGCAATTTTTCTATTTCTTTCTATTTAAAAGTGAAAATTACAGTTGTTTATTTGACTTGAATCTCAAAAAAGAAAAAAAAAACTAATATGTATAGAAAACTATAAGTTATTTTATTCATGAAAATGTAACCTCCTCCAGTTTTCCTGGTTTCAGTTATGCCATTAAACATCTGATTAGTTCGGCCACATTCACACTGCAGGCTTTGATGCTCTTTTTTCTTTCGTTGTTTCTTTCTTTGCACAGGTAAACAGCACATTTCTTCTTCTACGCTTGCATTATCGGCAGAGCAGACACTGAATGCGCACTTTCGTCTGGTTTGGTCTGCCGCGGATTCCGTAGACTCGTGAATACGCTTTTAGGAAATCCTATACAATACTGTTTATGCTCTAAAAACATTCTAAATGACTTTGTTTCGAGTAAATTATGGACGCTACCCACTCAGGACACTTGGAATACATTGGACGAGCAGTATGGAGGAATATTGACACGTTTTTGTGGACTTTTATGGACCTTTCTGTCTCGGGCGCCATAGACCTCCATTATTTGAATGTCAGCAGACAGCAAGAAGCCTCCCAGATCTCCAGATGCATTTGAGATATCAAAAAAGTACTCCAGAGTGTTGTTCAGCATGGGGGTGAGTAGAAAATGAAGGCTAATCATGTTTTGGGTGTACTATTCCTTTAAAACCTCAATCTTTTCAAGATGGTTAAAAAAAATAACCGCTCTCCGCATAATCGTCTGTCATACTGTTTGTTTTTCTTGCTGCTTCTGCATAGCAAGAAGCAGAATACTGACCTATGTAATTCACTAATGGCGTTCAGGTCGGATGAATGCTACCTGGCCGTTCAGACAGGTTGCATTTGAAAAGATCAGAGTCGTATCGGATTCAGGACCAGATAGCCAAGTGGCCTGGGTCACATAGGAAGAAATCGAATCTGTGTTGTTCAGACAGCCATGAAAAGATCAGATACAGGTCACATGTGGGCCAAAAAAATCGGATTTGGATAACTTCAGGCTGCAGTATGAACGTAGCCTTAGATGAGAGCATGTTGATGTGGAATTGAACAAATGTGTTTTCTTACTCTTGTAAGTGAGGGAAGGCCATTTTGAGCAGGTTGGCGATGTACTCCTGAACATGCAGCTGGTTGTTGGTGGGGTTGGTGGTGCTCAGAGCAACGCTGACTTTCCCTTCTTCCACCAAGTTAAACATGTAGGCCAAGATGGTGGCGTGCATGGTCAGACCTTAGAGAAGGGAGGCTCATCAGTGATGGAAGAGCAGGAGCAATGAAAAGATGGAGTGTGATTTTCAGAAAAGAAACGCCTCATACCTGCGGTGTGAGACGTATCTGTGACCACGGAGAAAATGTGCTGCAGAATATCACAGAAGTATGTCTGGTAGAAGCTCTGAGCTGCTGCCTCTTCTGCAGACACGTTCTGCAGGAGTGTGAGGAGGATCTGTAGACCTGGAGACAAACATTTAACAGAAATATAAATAACCTTTCACCAAGGAAAACAAATGCAGGAGTATTTTTTGTTCCTTAATAACAGATGAACAGTTTTTATCCATTTTAAAATTTTTCACTCAGTCCCTCTAATTCAAATATGGCTCAATGGCATCGGTGGCTGAAGCAGATGGAGTTTTTATCTATATTTTAGGGTCTAAACAGCTAATCAGATTAATTATGATTTATGGATTATTTAAAGTCGTATGGAAGCAGCTGTTCCAACTGTTGCATTTCCGAATTCTCACGAGTGGTGCACGACTTTACACGAGTGAATAACGTGAATGTGATTGGTCGATTATAAAGGTGGGGGCATTGTTGTGGTAGAAGGTTGACAAGCAGGTCTGATTGTGGCCGGTGTCTCTAAAGCATCTTGCTAACCAGTTAGCATCTTAGTGCTAGCAGGTTCCCAATGGGAAATTCCATTGGGACCAAGTAGCACTAAATTGGTGACTTAGAAACGACACTGTCAAGGAACGCTATGGACAGCGGAAACATGCAAGAGGAGGAGAGTTTAGTGTCGGAGGTCGTGGATGAGTCTCCTCCGTCAGACGTTTTTTATTTAGAGGAGGAAAGCGGGGACGAAGATGTTGTGGAAGAGGACGCCAGGGCGGCAGAAGCTTGGTTTGGTGTAGAAGGCTTCCAGCCGTACATGTTTGAGCCCTTGCCTCGCAACGCTGCCAGTTCTGTTAGCTCTACGCCTGCCGAAGACACAGACGTCCATCCCCGTGAACACTGGGACAGAACTCAACGGGAAAGGAAATGATTCTGATTTCTTATTTCAACCGTTGTGTATATTAGCTGCGAAATATGAAACAAGATGTTACAAGATGATTGACAGATGAGCGTTGATATACGATTGGCCGAATTTGTGTGTTCAGGCTGACGTAGAACTAACTAGCCTGCATAAGATAATGAAAAAAGCCTCACAGATTTTAAGACAGGATTTCTTTAAAAAATAGAAATTTTCTAACTTTTGGGACAATATGGTCTGATAAAGAGTACATTTATATACATGTTTAAGCCAGAATGATTTGACATTTAAATATGACTTCCCTACGACTTTAAATAATTGTCAACTAATTTAGTAATCAGTAGTGAAGGGTCCAACACCGATGCGTTGTTGCACACATGGAGCCCATACAGCAAAACACTATTCGTGCGCGTATCGTTTCTAGAAAGTCATGTGACTGATACAGGGGTTGTTTCTAACGGAGTGACTCACTAAACTGTGCCTAAAAACATATGTCAACATAATGCATCTGCTACAAAAAATATCTCATCTTTATGGAGCAGCCTAAAAGGAACATTTAAGCGGTTTCATTTTAATTTTGTTGCTGTGTTATCCTTTTTCCTGTTAGTTATAACTCAACTTAAGTGAATTAAAGTTAATTTCAAATTATTTACTGTTTTTACTGTACTTATTGTTTTAAAAATATGATTGAAAACCCTAGTCCACAAGTAACCCTAACCCTCATTCACATTGTCCCCTACATTTCAAGTTATGATATATTTTTACATAATTTATTCGCTGCAGTTAAAAATATCAAAGATATTTCCAATTTAAACATAGATATGAAATACAATATAACATACAATAATTTAAATGATGTCATTGTACTAGGTCATCAAATCAATTCAGTTTAGTCTGTCTAATAAGCTGCCTGTAGTGTCTTTAAATGTCCAGCAGGTGTCAGTATTATGAGACAATATCAATGCAGCCTCAATACAGTTTTTCAATGTGTCCAAACGCTTCAAGATGCCTCATTAACCATCACTAGTAATCGGTTAATCGTTAACAGGTGAATAGAGATTGTAAATAATGCTTTTAACTGACAGAGTGACCCACTTAGAGTAGTAAAAAAAATATATATACATTTTGCATTTAACATAAAATTTTTATCTGTCATTATGCTCTATCCAGAACTCTTCAAGTAGAAAAGTTTGTTTCGCCTGGTTCAATTTTGTTAAAAATCTTCTTTAAGGAACCTTTGCTGCCTGATTATTAATCGAGAAACAATCGATAGATTAATCAATTTGCTAAATAATTGTTAGTTGTAGCCCCAAATAATTCCTGATAAATTAAGGTACGCATACATTTGCAAAAACAAGGAACACTGTATATATATTCTAATAACTTTTTCCTTCCCTTCATAGTGAAAAGGAGTTATTCTTTCCAATCAATTTTATGATAAAGTCACAAATCTGTTTTCAGTCCATCTATTCAAGTCAAATATAAACAGCAACTTTTTCGAATTTGACCAAACTGTTATTGCTGAGAACAGACTGAAGATTTTTTAATTTTTTGGAAGCCAGTCCCAAAAGATCTGCATCCCTTCTTAAAAAAGGCGTACTAGTAAATATCCAATTTTTTATTTATTATTTTAGCTCATGAGTACTTCTGGCCTCACTGCTTTGATTCACTTAAAGGGGAATAACTTTTTTTTTTTTTCCTTTCACATTGGCCCCATGATTTTACGTTATTACAGCATGTTCTAGTCACCCATATTATTTTGTCTCATTTGGAGCCTTTCTGAAGACATTCCTTTAGGTTATATCCAAGTATCATCTTCCTTTGGGCAACGACTTGAAGGCACAAACTAAACTGTTCATAATTTATCATTTATGGTACGCCATCATTCATAACATGTAGGTGAATCACTGTCTCCCAGACATCTGCGGTTATATTTTTATTTATATTTTTTAAAACAAAGCAGAGTGTGTATGACATCATCCGCACGCCAGACTGGAGTTGTGACAGGCAGCCCGGGTCACAGGCGGCTACATTCTACCCCTTCTATTCGTTCGGCTAGCTAATCTGATTCCATTTGGAGAGCGAGCTCATCTGTGGTAGCAGCACTAGACATCTTCCAGGCATGTGAGGAAAACTAGCAGCAGTTCAGCGAACAGGATGAATGAATGGTAGCTGGCACACGCTGATGTCATACACACTCTGCTTTGTTTTAAAAAATATATAAATATAAAATATATAACCGGGGATGTCAGAGGGACAGTGATTCAGATTATTATTATTTTTTTTTTATATGGCTCTTTGAGGAGTTTGGGTTCCCAACCCCTGACTTAACCAAAGGTTTGTCCACCTAGGATTTAATCAGTTTTAAATGTGTCATTTAAAGCAGTTTTAGCTCCAACCTGTGTCAGCAACGTTCCTCATCGTGTGCTTAAAGGCCCAGATGATGGAGTCTAGGATCAGTTTAAACTGGGCCGGTGCGATGGCCAGAAAGGCTGGGAAGCACTGGGAGGTGGCAGCTTGAAGCAGGTAGAAAAAATGGGTTCGATGTTCTGGGAACTCTTCAAAGTCCTAATAGATCAGAGGAAGTGTAACAAACTGGGATCAGCATCTCTTCTATTCATACGTTGCTCAGATTATTTCGCACACCGCCATACAGACCTTGTTGATCATGTTTAAAGTGCACTCGAAGACAGCATCGAAGATCTTTGGGATCTCGCCCGTAATGTGGACTCCCAGTTTGTTGACGATGGTTGCCATGGTGCTGAGGACCTCTGGCTCTCTTGCAGCAGGGACGTTCCTCTGGTAGTCAATGAGCACTGCCTCCAGCAGGGGGGGCACAAAGTTCTCTGCCACCTGAAACCACAGATTGTTTTTCTTCAGAACACATTTCTCTATCATCCATCTATGAAACTGATATTTAAGGGGAAATTTTATAAACTTTATTGTCCCATATTCCATTATGAGCAATTCATTGGGTTATTATGGCAGCAATTTGGATTAATCTAAACTACTTTGCTTTAGAGAAAACACTAATAGGCTTTCTGCCTAATATTTACTGAAATCTGCTAACAGATTACAATAAACCCTTAATATTTACCCATAATTCATCTTTCTGTTCTGTTTTTTTTAAATAGTTATTTTATTAATGCACATCAGCCCTAGTTTGAAAGAATCTCAGGCACTGTTTCTCAATATGTGTACTCATGAGCTCGTGTACTTGTGAAACGTCATCAGCCTCAGCCCTAGTACTGTTACAATTCACAAGAACAGCAGACCCAGAACGGACAAAGTCCCCGGATGTTGTTCTCGTCACTCTCTATTTACCCATCATGCATTGTGCAGACTTGTCCGTTCTTGAGATTGACAGCTGACCCAGCATGCAATGCGGCAGCAGCAGCTTTCAATGGAGTATTAAGTTAAAATATCTTTTTTTTCTGTTGCTTTTGTAAAGTACGTTTTAAGATCATTTTAGACGAGAATATTATACTTTAAAGCGTCACTATATGGTCCATTTACCGATTTAATGCGCAATTTAAAAAAAATTTCAGACGTTGAGAGGACCACAGCAACCAGCGGAGCTCCGAGGCCAACGGGAGCCAGCGCTAACCGCAGCCCGTCTGCAGCAGCTCTCTCTCAGCATAGCCGTGTGTGAACGACCGCTGGCTCTGATGGCGAGTTTTTTGTTTTATTTGGAAAAATTTTCATTTGATTTGTGTTTGTCTGACTGTGTTGATTATTATTCCCCCGCTAAATGAAAAAAGCAAGAATTTATTATTATTATCTAGAGACTATTAATAACAGGAGGTTAAATGCAGCTCCAGACGGAAGTAGATTTCTTACTAGCAACTGAATCTATCCATTATTCATCTACGTTGCAAAGAAACAGCTGATTCATCATGAAGAAAACCAAAACTGCTTACAAAATAAAAAGAAATAAACTGTTTTGTTTTCTTAAAAATCACCAAATGTTATGGACAACATTCAAGACAAAAGACAGCGACAAAAAGTAAAGAACTAGATAAAGTAGATGGGACAAAGGAAAAATAGAGAAATAGCTCCCAAGCTTACACTCTACGATTTATTTCAATTGTTGCACGCAGCTACAGCTAAAACATTACGATGAACCGGAATGTTTAAAAGTTCACAGCTCACGATGGACGTTCTCACATTGTGCGGCCCAACACTAACACTGTACATCTAAAAACCACGTCAGACTCAGTTCTGCAGTGAGATTGCGCTACTCGGACTCGTCTAGCAAAACGAGTAGAAGAGGAATATGAAGCTCACTAGAGTGGAACGCGCTACCATGGCAATTTGTGCAATTTAGTGCTGAAAGCCCTAAAAAGAAAAGGCGACAACGTATTTGGACAAAGACATGGCTGAGATGAAGCCTTTTAAAGCATGAATATTTGGAAACTAGGTTTTAAATTCTAATCGGGGTTTATACAGGAACAAATAACTCTAATTTAGTGCTCTTAGAAATTATTTTTTTAGTGCTCTTAGAAATTATTTTAATGCCAACACCATGATTCACACACACACACACGTGGTGTCACAATATCCTTGTGGGGACCTTCCATTGACTTCCATTCATTTCCCACTAATTTATATGGCCTAACCGTGACCCTTGCCCTAACCCTAACCATTACAGACAGATACCTATCCCTAAACCTAACCTAAACTCAATTCACACCTTAGTCCTAAACCTAACCCCCACCCCAAGAAGAGAAACTTTCCTTATGGGGACCAGTTGTTGGTCCCCATAAGTACGTATGAGTCCCCAAAATGTAGCATATTCCTAGGAAATTGTCCCCACCAGGTATTAAAGACATGGCCACACACACACACACAACTATATTAGGGGCGGAACGGTTCACAAAATCCACGGTTCGGTTCAATTCACGGTTTCGTGGTCACGGTTTTCGGTTCGGTTTATGTTGATCCCATAAATATTAATGAAATTAATGAAAAAATCCCCCCAAAAAATTAATGGATTGTTATTATTTTTAATGATCCGCAGAAACCCTGGATCATTTCCGCATGTTCTTGTGCTTTGAATTTAATCATCTGGCGCATGCCCTCTACGATCTCCAAGGAACTCAGAGCGGAGCGGACGGGAGCCACAGCGGAGGCTGTAGGCTTTGCTTTGTGCAGGCGGTCTGGAGCGCAGCGGAGCGCTGACGGAGTATGTGGGATTTCGGGGTTAGCATGACATGTTGGTCATGTTGCTGTTAGCATAAACAAAACGTGTTGCACAATGCTTGCACACTGTTGCACTTTTATCCACAACTTTCTTTCCGCCGTCATCGTAGGTCACTCTATAGGTCTGCTGTATGGGACCACTTTGCATTTAAAGTGCTGCTGGCGCGTCTTCCAACTCCTGTTCTTTCCCACTCGCCATACCCACACAATTCTCTACAACAACTGATTTTTTTCTGCTCGGCTACGCTGCTTTGCTTCTTCTTGTTTACTACTGGTGGTTGGCTTTGGTCGCAGTACCGCCACCTTCTGCTCTGGAGTGTACACACTTCGCCTATGAGAAAAAGGAGCAGCGCATGAACCGAACGCAACAAATGTGAACCGAACCGAGACAGTCGAATCGAACGGTTTTCATAAACCGTCCCATCCCTAATATATATATATATATATATATATATATATATATATATATATATATATATATATATATATATTTTAAAAAAAATTCCTTTGTCATCTTTACCGCTGACAGGCTGCAGCCATGTCCTGAATTCCTCGATTTCCAGCTACTTTTGCTGAAATTGGAATTTTCCCATTCTCTAGCCTTTTCTCCGCCTCAAGCTTCTTTTCCGAACATACAGCTATACGATCAACCCAAAGCAGTTCTGCACAGATATATCTGAAGAATTTTTTTTTATAAAATGTTTTAAATAAAGCATTTTAAATACCACAATAATCACATTTAATGAATTTCAATGCCAATTAATGCCTTAATGATTTTTTTAATGACCCGTGGAAACCCTGCTAATATTTTAGGTTTTTACCTTTTTATTTTAAAAAGCTTTTAAGACCTTTTAAAACTAAATCACTGAGTCGTTTCTCCCTCAGATGCAGTTTCTGCTTTAATGACTACAATGGTTTTATTTGAAGGCTAAAGTAGTTCCGCTCTAGTAGTTGTTTAGGCTTTTAGTTCTTAATGGTAAACATGCTTGAACTGAACCTTCACAGCAAGGATAATCTTGATAAACAATTTTTAGACAAATAAACAAATCCAAAGGGGCAGTCTCACCATCTGAGGGTCGTTGGAGCGACTGACCCAGCCTGAAATCAGTTTGAGCGTCTCCCTCTTGACCGTCCTCATACTCCTAATCAAAGGCTGCTTCGTCACCATCTCACCTACAGACATAAATAAACAGATGGTTTGTTCTAATGGCCTCTGGGATTTGTTCTGTCTGATAATGTAGAAGAGTGGAAAGCAGCTGACCGTTTGTCTGGACAGCAGAGGAAATGTTTTCGCTCAGGCATTTGTAGACGTTGAGCATATCCAGGTAGATTCGACCCAGTTGGACGACAAAAGGATGACCCACGGCTTTACAGGCTCTGACGTTGGTCTTCAAGATGCTGCCGAGCTGGCGGACCGTCTCGGCGTCCTTCAGGATGTCCACATTCTGCAGCACATGGTCCAAACCTCAGAATCAGTACCGTTACAGTAGTACCTATGGAGCTTCATAAAACTCTTCTGCTGAGGCCCTGACCTTGGTGGCTTGCTGGATTATGCTGTCCCAGACCTGGTTAGGAAGCAGCATGTACTTCTCTATGAGGAGCTCCAGGACCGCCTGGTCCGTCTGCGCTCCGATCATGTAACCCACCGCCTCATAGAACGTATGGACCTGCACAGTTGCAGTCAGACACCTGAGCTTGTTTCTCAGAAAGCGGCAGATATATAAAAGTGCTGATAATTCAACTGACCTGCTGAGGCTGCAGGTCACAGATGATGGTGTTGATGTTGTTGAGGATCTCATCAATGAAGGGCATCACCTCGCCCACCTGAACCTGGACAAAATGACGCCGGCACTTCTGAGCGATCTTGATGAACGTGTCACAGGCCATATCCTGCACACCATCATGGGTCTCTGCAGAGGAAACGTCCCGCAGGCAGAAGTCAGTACCTCGAAAGATTTATTCCGCTTTTAAACGGAAAACTTTCTCACTCGTCCTCACCGTGCATGAACTCAAACAGCTTGTTGACGACGGTCTTGAGGAACTTCCAGTGAGCTCGCAGGAAGCGAGGATACTGACCCACGATGTACATGATGTTGGATGCTATGATGGCCTTGTTATCCTTCCCTCTCTTCTGCTCACATAAGCCAAGCAGGTCCTGAACAAATCCCAGCAATTTAACAAGCTTCTCGAAGCGAGACGAGCGACTAGCTACCAAATAAACAGTTCCTCTACCGTTTGCCCACCTTGATCACTGTAACCAGAAACCTTTTCTCATCCTCCTCATGCATCGCCCCGCTTATAGACCCGATGGCCCAGCAGAGCATGTTCAAGTTCCTCCATGACCACTCAGTGCCGTTCACCTGGTTGTGGAGCTTCTCCGTCATGATTCGCTCAGTGTCTGCATAGTCCAGATGTGTCAGATATACTGCAGGATTCAAAGAGAGAGACGGGGAATAATGAATCCAGGGTGTAACAGCATGGATGAAGACATCTGAATCCAACCACATGTTTTATTGCAAATATTTAGAATTTTTTTTTTTTTTATTTCCTAACCGAGGAACAATACCAAATGCTAAACTAGGGATGGGAATCAAAAACCGGTTCCTGTTTAGAACCGGTTCCATGTGTCCTATTTCATGGCACCATTTGGCAGCTCGCTTAACGATTCTCTTAACAGTTCCAGGCAGCATGATTTACGTCACGTTTTTTTTTACGAAAGTCATGCACACGGCATTCAGTAAGCAAGTACGAGGTGACCAGGCGCAAGTCTAGAAAAACAAAACAAAAGCAGTCAAAGCGATCAAAAGATTGGCTTTATTTTAAGGAAGCGAAAGATGGCAACAAGCTGCTTTGTAATCATTGCAAAGTGGCGATTGCATCCGCAGGAGGAAATGCATCCAACATGCAGAAACACCTGCACACACAACACGGCATGCATTTTAACGGATGCCATGTTTTTTTGTACATCTTCCGGACAGAAGCTAAAGTTAAGACCCAAACGGAAGGCAACTATGGTGGTAAGTAGCTAGTTTTATATCACTGGCTGTGCTTAATGTGGTTCCTAGTAAATCATATGCCATTTCTGGAAATACACCAATTTCCTACCTCTCTTTCTTTTAAGGGAGTGTGCCTTTCTCGTTAGTCCAGCCCTTCATTGCTAGCATGTTTACTAAGAACTACTAGTAGCTGGAATTCTTACATGTTTCTAGCTATTGCATGGATGTAACGAAACATGCTACGAAGTTGCTCCGCAGTTCAGGGAGCGAGACGCTCGTTTATTTAAATCAGGGGGAGATGAGTTTATTTCCTGAAATTGTACCGTAATGCTTTTACATTAAATGGAATCGAATCAATTCCCAACCCTATGCTAAACATTCACTTACAATAATACTGATATAGTTCTGTCAACCATGAGGGAAGGGTAACTACTGCTGGTTGTTAGTCAGGTTAATATAAAACTGATGCCCATTTTGACCAAAATAATCCAATTATTGACTTACCCAGAGTTTCTCTCATATTCTTATACAGATTGATGGCATCCGTGTCCTTCATGAACTCTCTGACCACCTCACCCTGGTCGTTCTCCACCACCAACACCTCCTCTGGTTTGGCCATGCGGCTCACCATCAGCAAACGCACCTGCAAAAGGAAAACCATCGACGTAAGCAACACGTGAGCGACCCCCTCTGCGGCCAATCAGTTCCATGAACCCCATCAAACACAGCAACTTGTTTGACATGTAGCATCACCTGAGAAAGCACAGGCAGGTAGAGATGTCTTCGAGGTGGAACATCAGACAGCAGAGGGGTACTTGATGTGGAGAAGGGGCTCTCTCTGTACAACTCTGCAGCCAAGTGGTTCCAGTACTCCAGACAGATCTTGAAGATCTCTGTCTCCTCGACCTCCGAAACCAACAGCATGTAGTGAAGAGCCTGCAGATCAGAACGAGATGAAAACAAATGAATAAAACGAGTACAAAGAAAACTCTTCTGGGCTGTAATATCAGAATGGATCTCCTCATACAGGTGAAATTAGCCGGTAACACAGCAGCTTCGGTCCAATCAAAAGGTCAGAAATGGTTTCCCTGAAAACTTTCCAGAGATTTCAAACTTTTCAATCTGAACGCTGGTATGCAAACACAAGTATTCAGAACAAAAAATAATTAGGTTGACGAAACGTTATAGATGACCTTGAGGCTTCTCCTGCCCCACTCCTCCTGACTCCACAGGGCCATGAAGTTCATGCTGCGACAATCTGAACCCTTAACAACAACAAATATCCCTACACTCCCTTCAACAATCTGATGGTTTGGTATCAATTGGTCAAGGATTTCTCTTAAAGGAAAAGTCTGCTCATATTCAGAATTCAAACTTCTGAAAGTACTTTAAATATGAAATTATTACATAATGTTAGGGGTTTATTATTAAGAGTAATTTTCATGTGAATGTGCTTTACTGGAGGCATCAATGTTTGTCAAAGAACACTACTGCCACCTACTGGTTTGTGACGTCACGGTGCGGTATCGGCTGTTGATCAAGTCCCAGTGCTGTATCTGGTGTTTGTCACAACGCGCTATTATCCAAGTCATCTTGAAAACATTCTTCTTCCAAATGTTGGCTACATATTACGGGTTTTTTCTCTGGCCAGAAGTTCCATGGCAAATCCTCCCTCTTCAAGAATCGGAAAAGGTGAAATAATTTTTTTCTTTTTCACCTTTACCCGGTGTATTCCAACTAGAAACTGACATTTTTTCAGGAATCCCACGGGTCCTGGGATTCCCGTGGGATGGGAGTCAGTATTAGTAACGATCACGGGATTGGGACGGTACAGGATTAAACATTAACGGGAGCAGGCGGGAGCGGGAGCAAACCAATAGTGACTAAAAAAAAACTAGGATCAATGCCAAAAAATAAAATAGAAAAAAAAAAAAATCCAGTAATTGCGCTACCATTTTGTAGTTTTTTTCCTTCCAAAAAACTACACGACCCAATAACCAACAGTGCTTCCGCTCTGAGTTTTTCACCCGCGCTCAAAAACAACAAGAATGGGAGTGGTGCAGGAGCGGGAGTCATTCTGAATGGGAGCGGGATGGGAGTGGGAGTAATTTCACCAGGAGCGGGACGGGACAGGATTTAGATTTCTACTCTGGCCCGGGATCGGGACGGGACACAATTTTTTTCTGTGGGAGTGGGACGGGACAGGAGTGAAAATCCACTCCCGTGTCAGTCTCTAATTCCAACATCCAGCTGCCATGCACGTGGGCATTGTCAGTTTCACTATAGCTCTGGTGAATTTCAATGTTGAAGTCCTCTGGAAATCTTCAATAATTGTTGTTGATTGCAGATGTGTCTAGTAGTTCCCATTGATTTAGCTTGTAAAGCGGGGAGAATGGCGCTAGGCTTACCGCACCGTGACGTCACTGCTGGAAGATGGCAGGAGGGAGGGGTTACTATATTTGGGGAAAAATGGCCGCTCCCAGACTCAGTGTTCACGACGAAATTTATTGTTTTTTTTTTTGTTTTTTGTTTTTTTGTTTTTTTTTACTGATTAACACTAAATTCATTAAATCACCTGAAACTTATTAGTTTTAGGTATAAATAATAATCAATTGATTATTCCTTGCAGGCTGGACTTTTCCTTTAAACAAGCAGAATACAAACCAATGCAAAGTAAAAACAACTTTTTGGGGTTTGCCGTTCTGACCTCCATGAGTGTCTCACGCAGGTTGGGTCTTTTCTCCACCAGCTGCCCGTGTTCTTTGAGGAAGGTGCAGAGGAACAGACTCAGATTCTGGATAAAATTCTGCTCGTCATCTTTCCCGTTGGCGTATGCCAGTTTGATGTTTGTGTTCAGCGGCAGCATCTGATCAAACAAAAGCAAATATTTTCACTTTATTGACATGGGAATGGTCAGTAAGGTGTAATCGTGCTGTAAAATCCACAGCAGTAAAATGCTGGTTTGGAGCGAAGTTTTTCTTACTGTTACTACAGACCTGTTTGAGCTGAGACATGGTGGAGGTGAACAGGTTGATGAACGGCTCCTCGTACTGGTTGACACTCACTCCGGCAATCTCAGTCAAACATTTCAGCGTCACGTTTCGAAACATGGGAACGTTGAGAAACTGAAGAAGGAAAGTAGAAAACTCTGGGATTGATAATGACTGGTTGGTATTGCTTCTATAAAGTAACGTCATTATCCAGAACTTTTTCAGTTCCTTAAAAACTTCAGTTTGGGTTTTTTGGGCGAGCAACATTTGTCTATTTTATTATAATCCACATACAGTGGAATCCGCTTATAGCGATCACGGATATAATGATCAATCGCTTATATAGATTAAAAGACTTGGGACAGAATCATTTCTATGCAAATGCTGTTTATAGTAATCAAGAAATCAGTTTATAGTGTTCATCTTTGGCCATTTTATGAATGTAGAAATGTGTAAAAATAATTATGAATGTATACTTGTTAGGGTTGTCAAAAGTATCGAAACTCAAAAAAGTATCAATACTGAAATGTTGTATCCAGATACAATACTCGTTTTTAAAAGTATCGATACAGTGCTACCACCAGTGGCACCTAAGCAGTCATTCATCTAAAGTGCAGAATAGAGGACAATGCACTTTCAGAACACTGTGTGATTGAATAATTCTGTGCACTTTTTAGTTTCAGACTTTTTTTTTGTAAGAGGTGCAGCTGCTGAGAAATATTTTTGTTTCTTAACCGGTTTGGCTAGTGTCATTGTTATGTGTGCAAAGCATAGCCAAGGAAAGAACACTTAATTTGAATTTTATAAGTTTTTTATCAAGCTTGCTTAATATTATGCACAGCATACAACCTTTATTGTGTTTATTTATTGTATTTTATTTATTAATAAAAATATTTCTGTAGACTTTTGGAGTCTTTGTTTTTATCCTTGTGGTATCGAAAATGGTATCGAGTATCGAATATTTTCCTTAGTATTGGTATCGAGTTGAAAAGTTTAGTATCGTGACAACCCTAATACTTGTACAAAAATTATTTTAAAAGTACGTGTAGATCCATTCCTACTGGTTTAATGTAGCCAAAGAGATAAATTGAGCACAATTTAAAAGTTACATATCTAGGCAATTTACCAACTGAACTGAACACCCAAGATAAGTGCTTTCTATAAATACTGCTGGTAGCAGGAAAGAAATCAATAACAAGAAAGTGGCTTAGTGGCAGCCCACCGACTTTGTGTGACTGGTCAGACGGTAGAAGAAATATGTGAGATGGAAATGCTTACATTCTCCATAAGACTCCAGGAAAACAAATTCCATAAATATTTAAGGCTCTCTACATACTCTGTAACCTATACACCTAAAAATAGTTCATAATTAATTTTTTTCCCCGTGTTGTATTTTCGTACCCCTCCCTTGGTGACCTCTCTATTTTCATTGCCTTTCACTGTGTTCGTTGCAATTTTGTTTATTCATTTATTTTCCTTCTTTTTTTCTCTCTCTCTCTCTCTCTATATATATATATATATATACACACACATGTTAATTAACACCTTTTATCATGGTTATATTGCCTCTTTTTTGTGTTGGGTGTTGTATTCTGGAAAAACTTATCAAAAATAAAGTACAAAAAAAAAGTATGTGTAGCCTAGTTATTTTATTTTTTTTTTACTTCCCTGATTCCTTTCTGGGCGTCTACTTCTGCCTAGCTAGCTCGGAGATACAAGAGCGCTTTGGTGCAGGTACCAGTGCTGCCCATAGCGAGGGGGAGGATGAGGATGAAGAAGATTAGACTGCTGTCTCTTCCAGAGCTTTCTCAGAATTTGCGTTTAAAAGACTGGTCTCCTGCATGTTGGTTTCAAAAACTTTGACCTTTAACATCGTTTTGAAAAAGAAGTGAAGTCTGTGTTGGACAACACTCTGATCCAAGGAACCATGGATCAACATGTGAAGTGATTATTTAATGCGGCGCAGCAGATCCACAACACAAAACAGAGGTAGGCTAGCTTTAATTTTATGTAGCCTACGCAGTTATCTGCTATGTTGTTGTTCTATGAAACCGTTTCAAACTTTATTTTCAGACATGTTAGGAAAAAAATGCACAGGCGGCACAGCGGAGTACCATGCAACTGTAAACTTGCATGGTACTGCGATAAAATTCAGTAAATGCGGAAGCTATCCATTTCATTACATTTTTCTAATTGAAAAAAACATAAAAATGACATTTAGATGATATTCTGCATAAAAAAATAAGTGAAATAACAGTAAATTTGGTTTCAATAATCAACTTCTTAGTGTTCAAAATGGCTCTGGAACAACGTGATACTATAAGAGGATTCCACTGTAATAAATTGGAAGGAGCTGCTGATTCATGCTGCCTGGTTTTACCTTGAAGACCAGTGTGCTGATGAGTTTCGTCTCAAAGATGTATCCTAAAGGAATCCAGTTCAGAAAACGAAGCAGAGTCTCCAGGGTGGCGTGGACCAGTGGTGCATTTTGGGAGTTTTCCTACACAAAAAATCAAACATCAACATAAGAGTGTTTAGAGGTGATAGTTAACAAAAAAAAACCCTGAGAGATCTCCACTCTTTGGACCTTACCATCACAAACTGACACAGCTGGAATATCTGAGAGAACTCGTTGCACATGCTAAAAAAAATTAAAAAAAAATACAGAAAAAGACCTTTTAATGTTTCAGGATAAAATAAAACAAACTTTGTTATTGACAGACATCCTTAGGAGCTGATCCCGCTACCCGGACTAAGTAATTTAACTTATTTTATTACATTACAAGAGCAAAAAAAAAAACTTGTTTACGGCTATATGATCTTGAATCAAATTCAACCAGCTTAGCTAAGAATTTAACTAAAATATTAACAAGCAGGGGGGAATTGTTTCTGCTTATGTACATTTTAGAGACTTGGTGATGAGGTTTAGATAAAAAGAGAAACACTTGACATGCCGAGCAGCAGAGGTACCAAAGATAAAGCCATAGTTATTAAATAAAATGTAGAAGTAAAATGTTTTAAGATGTAGTGACATTATGATCAGCTGTGATAAAAACATCAACATAAATCAGTTTGAAATCAATAACCTGTCTTTCAGGTGTTTGGCTTTGACTTGCGTAATCTGGCCACTGGAGAAGTCAAACACTTCTTCGCTGAGGAGCTTCAGGATGATCATGTTGTTCTGACAGAGGCTTTCGCTGGTCCGACTGGCACCAACGATATCGCTGATGAAAGTGGGCCAGTGTTTGGGCCATTCTTGTTTCAAGATCTAAGATAAACCCAAAAAAAGAAACAATAATTAGGGAAATAAAAAAATTGCCATCAAAAACCCAAGAATAGAAAAGTTATTTTGTCTTTCTACCGACGGAAATCAAATGATCACCTGTACGAGGATCATGTTGAGCTTTGAAATGTACACCCCTTCCTTCTGCAAAACAAATTTCATAAATACTGAAAGACCGACACATGGTTAGTGAAGACTAAGATTTTTACAATGTAAACAACTTTACCTCCATGTTTGCAGGATCAGAGGAAGTCTTGATAATCAAGCCGACGACATACTTCTTGATTCCTGAAAAAGACGCAATTAGAAGAAGTATACCAGGAAAGCAGCACTGCAGAGAAAACACAGATCTGCTTTGGAGAAAATCATGGATGGAAACCACAGGCTATAAGAACAAGTTGCTTATGATGCCTAAAACCTTTTTTTTTTTTATGTCAGAAGGATTCACCTTCACACTGATGTCTTGGGAGAATCTTCCAACGTGTTTTGATGACGGCCTCCAGAATTTGGAGCGCATAATACTAAAAGGAAATAAAAGATAATTTAAATTAAATCATTTGAAGCAAATGAATCACTGCAGTTTGGTCGAAAACCACAAACTCAACTGGATTACAAAAAAGAAATAAACAGAAAACACAAATCAAACAAAATAAAACTTATGTTTATCACCTACTTGATTAGTGAGTAAAATCTTCACATAAGCTCCACCTTTACTTCTAATTAACTGTAACTTAAGTATTTGCATGGCCAAATGCAAAAGAGACAAATAAAAATGGCCACCATTAAATTCTGATATAGGCAAACACAAAGCACTAAAACTTCAAGTGGTGCAAACAATACTGCAAAAATAACCCTTCATTTTTAAATGAAAAAATAAAAAACAAATCAAACTTTATTGATCTCACAATAGAGAAATTAACTCTGCATTTAAGCCACTCCCTCCAGGGAGCAGTGGGCTGCCACTGTGCAGCGTCCAGGGAGCAATCGAGGGGTAAGGGTCTTGCTCAGAGAGCCAGGCTGTGGGGTTTCGAACTCACAATATACTCACCCTATACTCTAACCACTAGGCTGCCACTCCCCCTTATGTAATTTTCACATTCAATATGAAGAATTGATGATCACACATTATGAATATCGACACATATCTAGTTCATACTTTGGTTTTCATATTCTGAGAGAATTCCAGAATGGTGTCAACCCTCGTCCAGGCATCAGGATGGTCCTTCAGGTTTGTTAGCACTTCTTGAGCCACTCGTTGCTACAAAAAGAAACATGAAAAGCACTTTAACACAGAACATCAAGAGATCTCTACTACTCTCTCAATCACCCTGACAGCCCCCCCCCCCCCAAAAGTCAAATTAGATAATTTCTTCAATATAGAAATAGGCAAAAGTTCAACACTAGAAGCTAGCGATGCTCAGAAAATGTAAGTTCATCAATGAACGATAAGGTAAGGAACAGAGGATGGACACAAGACAATTAAAAAAACAAAAGGAAAAGAACAAACATACAATGAAGGAAAGGAGGGGGTATGAGGAGGAGAATAGAAATGTCCTAGATCTAAAAAAGCTGCATGCTTTTCCAGCCTGCAGAGGAACCCAGATGTAGCAGACTGAAACAGGCCCTCACCTGGGTACCGATGTCATGGTACATGGAGTTGACAACAGTGTCTAACAGATTGATGTCAAGTTTCTGATTGAAGTCCAGCAACTGTCTGGCTGGATGATCGGCCAACATTGTCATTTCTGCTGGCATAGAGCTTCCTGTAAAGATGAGAGGCATCATTTTTCACTTTAAAAATTCCTAAAATCCTCAATATCACTTTATTTAAGACAAATGAAATAAAAAATTTTCATAAGTCCCATATAAGGCTTAAATGGGAAAGGCCTCGGTTAAATCAGCCATTTTTCAACTAAAGTGACAGCTAGTAAAAATAGAATAGACGGTTTAATGGGAAACTACGCCCCCTGCTGGGTAGACTGGGAACATCGAAAAGAATTTAAACCAAATTCTGTGTTTAATACCATACAAAAATATTATAGGCTGAAAACATTGCTTATATTTTAGTTATGTTTCTATTGTATTTCCTATTATTATGATACAACATGAAATAAGCTTTAAAGTTTTATTCTGAAACTCGCGGAAGCTAATCGTAGCGCATGCGAAGTCAACCATTCAACTTAACAATGCTCGGGATTTACTCACCTGGTTTGTGCTGTCCACTTGTCGTAAAACTAGTGTTGTGGTAATTGTCCTGTAGCTGGACGCCGAAATGCTCTGAGCCTCAGTGCGTGAAAGGCAGTATGAAGCGTTATCTCATTGCAAACACTGATGCTACACTTCAGCTAGCACTCACAGGCTAAATGCTAATGTTAGCTTCCGGAGATGACACAAAGCAACCAACGCCAAGTTAAAATAGCTTTACACAGTCTACTTCGACTTACTTTAAAACTAGAAATGTCGGATAATCCTTCTTTTCTCCAATCACTATGAAAATTGTGCCTATTTTCAGCTATCAGTTACTAAACCCGACTGATAATAGAAAAGTCATTGATGATTAAGGACTACAGGCTAAATCCTTCAGCTAAGCTAACAGCAACAAATTCACGGAGTCAAAGATGGAACGATATTCCGAGTCAAAATCACGAATTGAAATAGTCTAGTTTTATTTCTGATCCTGTTTGCACATTGTGCGACAGCAGAGATGTATTAGGTCGTGGAAAAGTGCGCTTCCTCTAAGCTCATGCTTCCAACAGCAGACCGGTTAGAACCGGTTGAGACCGGGTTATTCATTCTCGGTCTTTCGGCCCGCCGAGCGCCGCGTAAAATTTGGATCATGTACCCACCCAGAAACGACGCCATTGGTTGAGTCGCTGCTGGCGTCAAACGATGGAGTAGGCGGGGTTATTCATCACGGGGGGATGGGGGGGGGGGGGGGGTTGGGGGGGGGGTGCTGTCTGTCTTCTTCTTCTTCTTCTTCTTCTTGTTTTCTATTATGACGGATCGCAAGCAACTTGGTGCATACCGCCACCTACTGTACATGCGTGTGTAGCAACATTACTTTACATTAATTTTTAAAATTTTGTATTCTGTAGATAAATAAATAATGCTTTCCTTAATCTATAAATATCCTTTATATTTCCTTCATTTCCCCATATTCCTTTAAGACTCAATTCTTGGCCTGTCCTTCCAACCATTTTTCTCAATGTCTCCCTTTCATGTTCATAAGTTTTACAGTTCATCAGCATGTGTTTTACATTTCTTTTTCTCCACATTTATTCACATTTATCATTATTTTTCATCTCTATTAAATATAAATTGTCATTTAAATAGGTATTACCCGCTCTTAATCTGATCATTATTACTTCTTCTACTACTACTTCTTCCCTTTTGTTTTGTCATTAATGATTCTATTTAATACTGATTTCCTGTACCTTAAATAATCCTCTTCCTTTTCTTATCTTCATTCCAACTCTTTTGCCAATTTTTCCATTTTTTTTACTCTTAATAAGTGATTTAGCTTCCCCTTTCCCAAAAGGAATTGTAATCATTATTGCTCCCTCTAAAGCCTATATAATCTAAATAGACTGTGCTGGATTTCTAATACTAAATCTTCTCTATCATTTCCTTCTTCCTATATACTTTCTATGGAATCTGTACAGACCACCACCCTGTCTGGTCTAACCTCCTCTACCCATTGTAAGCTTAGTATAACTGCCACCATTTCTGCTGTGAAAACAGATAGTTGATCTGATGTTCTTTTAGAAATATATATTTTAAATTCTGGTATCTGTTCCGACACATCCTTTTAAATTCTTAGAACCATCTGAATATATTTTAATGTAGTTTTAATATGAGTTTCTTGAATATATATCAGTCTTTATCCCTATTTCATTTAAATTCCAATAATTTTTCATTTTAAGAAGTCTCAGGTCTACATTTAACTCAGGGAATAGCCATGGAGGAATAACACTAATCGGATTAAACTGAGCTCATTTCTGATCTTCTAATCCATATTCTTTAATCAATTTGCTTATAATCCATCCAAATCCCTTACTATGGAACTTTGAATATCCTCAACAGTTTTGTAGAATTGCTGCAGTTACATTTTCATCCAGTAAACTAGAGCTAATTTATATTTCTTATTTCCAATGGAGTCTCTCCAGTCTCTATTAAAATCTAGGGTCTACCTGGACTGGATCCTTTGAAGTCTGTTAAAATAAGGTTACCGGAAGAGTTTTGGCTGAGGATTCAAACAGGTCTATCCTTCCTTGGCTTTCACCGCCGTATACTCTGTCGCCTAGCAACCATTAGAGTTGACACACTAAGCAGGAAAAGCATCAATACCGAACTTTCCAAACTGTTTCTTTTTCATTACACTACATTCTTCAGAATGCAGAGTGGAATAAAGGTGAAAAGCACAGGGAGCAGGAACAAATAAAATCAAATGTAATGATATAAACATTAGGCAGTTAAATAACATGCTGTTTTTTAAATTTCAATTACTGTAGAAATGTCCATACCTGTATATTAGTTATTTATTTTCCAGGTGCACAGTGTTTTGTATTGTTAAAACACTTTACAGTACAGTGTTTTATTGCTTATATTTTAACTCTTCACTATTATGTTATCCTTATATATTTTTCTAAGGTCCACATTCTATTCTATAAAAGGAGTAGAAAGATATAAGTAAATCTAAACAATGTATGTATAAAAATATATCTGCAAAATATCTTATATTAAACAACAAAAAAATGCTTAGTTAAGCAAATTGTGCAACTCTATCAGATTTATAGTCCCCACCCAGCAGATATATCAGAATCTGTCCTTAAATTACAGCCAAACTCATTTACACAGTAACAGATAAAAACCTTTAGATAAATCAAACATTACTGCCGCTTATCTGACTCAATAACCATTAAAAGAACTATTTTCATAAATTTCAGACGGAACTATTCACATACTTGTATTAAATTAAACTGAACTTGCAATATTCACCATTAGTAGTCTTGGAATTCGACCAGACCTCGGCGCTGCGCTATGACGTAATCAGCTCATAAATTCAAACAATTTCAATTCCTTTCAGTTTATGGCTCCAATTCACAACACATGTCACTTCAAGGCACTTTCCAGTTCAACCAGATCATCCAGTCAAACTGATTCAAGGTTTTCTGTCTAAGGTAAACTAGCTGATTGCATCGACTCATTGACTCTTCAGCAATTCCTCACACTAAGCATGCTTGTAGCGACAGTGGAGAGGAAAAACTCCCTTTGAAAAGGAGCCATCTGCTGAGGCCGACTGGGGTTCAAGGAGACAGAAGCAGACATACAAAAAGCAGCTGTAAAAGGCGGCCCCATCCAGCAAACACACAGCCAGGCAGACGAACTCTGAGCCAGCTCCCATGTCAGAGGATGAAGAGAGCACATCCAGTTAGTCACAGTCAGAGAAACAGGACTACACTGAAAAACAGGCTGATCTCCAACATCTATAGACAAAGGTATTGATGGCAGCAGCACAGCTGATATTTCTCTCCAGGATGGAGTCACAGCCAAACAGGAACAAACCAGAGGAAGCTACTACGAGAAAAAGCAGAGAGTAGAACATTAGAGCAGAGCCTCTGTTGCCTTTAAATTCCTTATATGGTGCGACGTGTTCAAGAGTTCATGATTAAGTGAAGGAGATGTGTTGCTTATTGCACATTGATCACGATGAGACTCATTTTATCTAAGTTTTCTTTTTTCAGCAGTTTTTCTAGTAAACGCCCATTTGATCAAACAGTGTTTGTTGGTCTGTGATTAATTGTTCAAACCCAAGTATCCACTTTAAGACATGGCTTTTGCTCAAAATAGAATCCTTGGTAAAGTTCTTACTGTACGTTTACCTGCAGGTTTTATTAAGGTGTTTGAAAAAAGCATACATATAAGAGACTTAAACTTACTTAGAGACTTAAACAAACTTTTATTCTCATTTTGTTTACACAAAATGTATGCAAAACGGAATTTCATTTTGTACAGCTTTCATGACATTTCCATTCCTTAAAGTGCAGCTGTGATCAAATGTAAACAGTGTGGGAGAAAAAACATGGTGCAAAAAAAATGCATTGATATGGAAGTTCAGAGCATTAAATATATTTGGTGCAAATATGCAGTATTTTTGATTTGGTGTTATTAGTGTGATGCAGAGTCTGTGACATGGTTTAGAGCAGGGGTAACCAATTAAAAATCAGCTGGGTCCAAATTAAGCAAATCATCAACCAGTAAAGGTCTGGATACATTTTTTATTATTTCCTGTTACTTTAAAAATAATTTAACAGTGAAATAAAATGAGGTTTATGCATCCATGTTATACACTTACCTTTTAAATGAAAAAATAATAAAAAATTTCTTTACATTTTAAAATCTAAAGTGTTAATAAAACACCTGAATTCTTTCTTTCTTTTTTCTGTCTTAATGTTGGCAGTGGGCTTTATGCTTCCCTGCAAGGCTTTAAACCTGGGTTTAAATGGAGACTAAGCCATTCTCAAGCACATATCAAGGTGCTCATTTTGAGCCTGGATCCAGATTTATTGTTGATTCTGTTCATGGTGGAGAATCCTGCTTCACAGCGGCAGGTTGAGCCAAACATCCTCTAAATGTGCAGGGTCATCTTTGAGCACGCCATTTCACTTTTCTTTCACCAGTTCACCGCAGTTCTTCCAGCAGTCCACACTTTCTCTGCTCTCTTTTTCTCATCGTCTTCTCCTTCCTTCCCATCGCCCGGCTTGCCACAGGTTTGCCTGCTGTGTCTAAAAGGAGCAGCAGCAGCAACCCAGACTGACAGCTCATTGGCTCATTTGGATCACGTCCAGCCTGGAGCCGGACGCTCCGGAGGGATTTACTGTATTAACAGGAGAAGCAGCACAAGTGAAATTAGACACTGTCCTCAGACAACATGCAGTAATTTATAAATGTTTTTAATCAGGTTGGGTCCGGATTAGCCAGCAGGTGGGTCCTGATCCGGACCACTTTCTGCTAATCTGGGACCTCTGTTTTAGAGTTTTCTCAACATTCATCAGTCTGATGGCAGTGGGGAAGAAACTGTTGCAGAATCTGCTGGTCCTGCATCCAATGCTGTGAAGCCTCTTACCAGAGGGCAGCAGGGAGAACAGTCCATGGTGGTGGGGGGGGCTCATTGATTATGTTAAGGGCACGGGACACGCAGCGCTGGGATGAAATGTCTTTAATGGAGGGAAGAGGAGCCCCCATGATCTTATTTGCTGTTCTCACCTTCTTCCAGTCTGAGGAGCTGCAGCCTCCACACCACACAGTGGTGTCGTCTGCAAACTTCACAATGTGATTAGTGGTAAACCTGGGGACGCAATAATGTGTCATCAGGGTGAACAGCGGGGGGGGGGGGGGGGGGGCAGGATGCAGCCCTGAGGGGAGACTGTGATTAGACTGATGACATCAGAGGAGTTCTGTGTTAGGTTTATTCAATGATGATTATAAAATTAATGTGTGTGTGCTTCTGAAACATTGGAGCAAGGAGATGCTCCACTCTGCCTTGTGATTCAGTTGATGGAGCATCCTGTCTTATGACCTGATCAATTGTTCTGTCAGAACCATACTGTTTTTTAACCATGTGTTATGTTCTGTTAATAAAAGACGACTGCAGGAGGGGGGTTGGGAAAAGAGTTGAAAGTTGGGTTGGGCTCTTTCTACTCCTGCAGGAGCTGTTGTTGAAAGTCCCTTTATGTGTGTATTCAGTACTTCTTTTACGAACCTACATTTTTGAACCTAACATTCTGTCCGACCCGGACTGGCTGAGGTCTGTTGGTCTGGGAGCCAAT